GCCCGGTTTTGGTGGCCTGCATGGCATGTGGTACTAGGGATGGAATTCGGGTCCTTGCATTTGCCAGGCAGGCAGGCACTTAGACCACTGAGTTCTCCCCAGCCCTGACCTCTCAGACCTGGGTTCAATCTCTGGTACTGCATGCCATCCTGGCCCTGTCCCTGGGCGCAAGGAGCAGGGTATGGTGGCTTAAGCGTGTGATCCCAGCACTGGAGAGGCTGAGACAGGAGGATCATTATGCGTCCAAGCTGTGTAGCAAGACCCTGTACTAAATTAATATATAAATAAAAGATATAAAATTAATAAAAAATTGTAGAGGCCAAAGGTAACCTGTACTAACCTCATGTCTCAATAAATTTAGTATTAAAATATTCATGCAAGTGTTTCTTTTCCTGATATATCCATTTTTTGTAGACTCTGTATATTCACACAGTTAATGTACCTGCATATGCTGCATATGTAAATATTCAGTGAACTGTTTTCTTCCTGACTAATCTGAAGGGATAATTTATGACAACAGAATTCTTACAAACACTACAGATCTATCTACAATCAATTTTTTCTAATAGGTATCTATTCTATGCTACTATTATGGGGCCTATTATTACCCTTTAAAAAATAATCACAACTACTTCTGTTTTTTTTTTTTTTTTTAATTTGTTAAGCTTTAGGGCAACTATTTGCTATTGCTATCACATTTTGAGATAAATACTATTCAAAGAACTTGTTTTTTTTTTTTTTTGTATTTTGTATTTTTAGGGAAGGGTCTACAAGGTGTTCAGGGTCTCACTGTTAGATCAAACTCATGTTATCCGCCTGTTTACAGCCTCCCAAGAGCTGGACTTACAGGCGTAGGCCACCACCCCCAGTCTCAATTGCAGTCTCAGTGTGCCCCGGGGGCACCCCAGTCTCAACTGCCTTCTCTCAGGAACAGCAGGGGCAGGCCTGGGCATAGAATCCCTGGGCCCTGCACCTGCCTGCAGGCGCTTTAATCTGCTGAGCTATTTGCCTGGCCCCCACAGCTACTTCTTACTTTTACAACATAAACTTTATGATCATTTTGCGAAATCAATTCTCAATTATTTGATAAAATTTTTAAAAATAGAGTAATAGTATTATAGACAGCTAAGTTACATAGAAATATTATAGGCAGTCTGAAAGGGATAGGGCCTTGAGAGTTAATATAGAACATGAAAACACATTAATTTTTTTTGGTAGTACTGGGAATCAAACTCAGGAGCTTGTGCTTGCCAGGCAGGCACTTAGGCTGCTGAGCTATCTCCTTGGCCTGAAAACACATTATAGTTGTGGCCAGAGGTGCATCTGTTGCAGGCCAGGACTCAAGATAAAGACAGGATGACCAGGCATACATGCTTCCCCAGGTATAAGTAATATCTGGCCCAATAGAGTCTAGATAAGACATCAGTTACCTTGGTGGGCGACCAAGACCCCTATCCTTTCCTGAAGAGTTCTTCGCTCTATGTACACTTGCTATGTCTTGCTTCCCCATGCGACCAATATTACCTAAGAGGCTATACTTATAATCCTATTGATCATAGCTTTAGCCCATGTTGTACCATGATTTTGCTTTATACAACTTCCTCTGTGAAGTGGGTTCCCTGGCAACCTACACGGGGCTCCTCCTTTCTCAGGCAGAAGCTCCTCCCTCAATTAAATTTCCTACTCTTAATCTCTGTGGTTCACTAAATTCATTCTTTGAATTTGGGGAACACAAACTTGATATACAGGATATCTGGAAGATTGGGAATTCACGTATTTCCCCTATATAGTCTGAAAGTCCTATTATGGGACTTTTATGGGAAAATTAAACTCTGCAAGTCTTCTCAGCCAGACATGTTGTTCCATTTAAACAGGGTAGCTTTTGAGGAAAATGGGCACACATATCTCAGTTCAATTATTAGAGTGTCCCAGTGTGTGTCATTAGCAAATGATTTTTTTTCCAATTATCAGGAAAATAATTTTCCTTTTCTCATTATTTCAATTGTTTGTTCTAGAGTGCTGAACAACTGTGGCATTACCAAGAACCTTGTTTATTCCAAACTTGTAGGGTGGCTTGTAAGATCTCTCTGAAGACCTCTGAGTCTGTCCCCAGCAGAACCTAGGTTAGCAC